TATAGTACAGTGATTTAAGTTTTATAATTTAACCAAAAATTTTGTTAGTAATAAATCTTCGATAGCTTCAGTAAATAGTATATGCGTATGGCAAAGGTTTCAAGAGTTCATAAAAATTTTATTAAATTGATCGATTCGCAGAGTCGTCACATGACCCGTAATCTTGGATCGCCATCGTCATGGATCGGCAGGCCGGATAGATCGACGATGTCACGTGACCCGTAATTTTCGTGGCCGCCCTGGTGGATTCATTAATGTATGTTCACAAAAACCGGCATACTGTTTTTTGAATTTCAACAACTGGTCACAACAATTATTAGAGTTCAGTACTGCAGCAGGGACGGTGATTTTCTGTGATTCACAGAAAACCACAGAATTTCACTTAAACACGGCAAACTATAGAAATCACCCTTAGTTACCACAGAATACCACAAATTCGCGTCGACGCTGGAAAGGTAGACAATAAATTAACAGCATGTTTGTCAATTATATGTTTAAAAAAAAAAATAGATAAACGCATCAAAACACAGAAATTAAAGAATAACATCAACAAAAATTATAATATAGCACAAAATTGCACAGAAATTGGTTAAAAATTTATCAATTAAATCACAGAATTTGTCTTAACCACATACAGAATTTAGTAGTCTTAATCACCACAGAAAATCACCGTCTGCAGTATGGATTGCACTATAAAAAATTTCAATTTTTTTTTTTTTTTTACTACAGCAAGTGGTGGCACGTTTTGTCACGTCATACTGTACAGAATGGTACGTATTAAATGATACGTATGTATATGCACATGTCTCAAAAGCGAAGATTCAGTATGCTTTTTTTTTTTTAAAAAAAAAGCAATATCTCAAAATTTCACCGATAAAATTGTTCTGGGTATCTTAACGAAAAAAATTCCTTGCAGAATTTTACACATATGCAAATTATTTTAATTTCAATACGTATTATATTTATGATTATTGATGTAAATTTATGCTTTAATATGTATATTTGTTATTATGGTGGTACGTGAATTTACGTACGTCCGCGCCAAAACCCGTGCCAATTGGACTAGTAAAGTGTTTTAAACCCGAGTTATTAACGGTCTAATTGGCACTGGTATACGGTTCAACACGAGCCAAAAATCCGTGCTAAATTTGAGCCTCTTACGTACGAAATCGTGCCACTGAAACCTGTGCCATTTTACAGTACATTTTTCTTATAAAGTAGTAGAGGGATGGTCGGTTCGTTATAAAGAGAACACTGATCACTATATCAAGATCACAAGGCATTTATTTATTAAAATTTCTTACCAAAAATTTCATAAAAATTTAAAACAAATTAATGAATTTGAAATAATAATAAAAAAAACATGTATTGAATGATTAACCCGTATAAATAGAGCAAGAAATGAAAACTTCAAGAGCAGGATATGGATGATGTTCATGAAATGTAAGAGAATGCCGTAGAATCTGAAGACCTCAAAAGACATAATCTATGGATAATACCGAAGAAGAAAACGCACGAATAGATCGTAATGTAATTATAAGTCTTTCAGGTCGAATTAACAAATTAGAGAACAACATCGATGAATCACATGCAAACTTAATAGCAATTGAAAATAAAACTCTGCGAGAAAGGTGATGGACACTCTTATGTTTATCACATTTTTAAAAACATATATATATTAATAAATTTCAAATTTAGGTACAATAAAATTTGTATTATCCATTAATTGAAGATGCTGTGAAAAAACCGAGAAAATTCGCATGTCATTTGATAATGTACAACTTTATATAATAATTAATTCGAGTTCTTGATAGTGATAATTATTGCAGAAAACAATGAAACAAATAAAGATGAAACTGTTTGAAAACTATTAAGCAGCACAAAAAAACTCTTTAAAAGATGGTAGACAATATAAAAAATCTGAACCAAGCAAAAGCTTTCCAAAAACCTGGTATAAACAAAACAAAAATACTTTTTATTGGTAATAAATTCGAAATTCATAAATATTTATGTTATAGTATGTAAGTTAGATAATAAAATTCACAGTAATTTCGAATGAACATAACTTTTCACTTTTTACGCAATAAAAATTTTATAATTAAAATAATCAAAAAAAAGGTTTGAGGTATAAATCATGAATTAGGGCTCGTAAATAGACTTTATGACATTATTAACAAATATGAGAATTCCCAAATTGATGACTTACATATTGATAACATTTCAAATTGCACATACTGAGATCAAAATAATGAATGTTAAATCGTAAAAAATTAATAAAATCTAGGCAACATGGGAGCATTACTATAATAATTATAATAAGATCTATCAATTGGTCGGGTAATTCTCATAAACACATGTGAGGAATCATGATTATTATAGTTTGTTTCGCGATACTTCAGTTCACATTGCCCACATATATCAAAGTCTTGACAATGTCCACACTGTAAAAAAGAAAAATTGATGATCAATAGTGCTTAGAAGGCATTATTATGCTAATGTTATAAGCTAGACATACTTTATATCTAATGCCACAAATTTGAAGTTTTCCACAAATATCGCAAGTAATTTCGGTATGTACGCCTACAAAGGAGCCAAAATTAGTATAAAGTAACAAAAAAAAAAACAAAAAAAACAAAAAGTTTAAATAAGAAATATTAATTACAAGTTTCCGTCAGTGCAAAAGTGAATCTTGGGAGTAATATAATTCGTGGGTCAATATTAACAGGATATTTGATTTTGAAGAATACGTGATCTGAATTATGATTCGAACCAATACATGTATCGCATAAATCGAAGTTGGCACAATTACCGCACTATTTGTTGAGGAGTGAGTTTTAATGAGGAAAAGATAACTGATTTCTCTTGTACACGGGAAGAAATATGAAAGATTACCTTATAACGGTATCCTTTTATTTGAAGCCCACATGAATCACAATTAACATCATGCCAAGTATTATCTGTAGGGATAAAATCAATTTTTGACTAAAATAAATATAATCAAAAACTCACACTTAACTTTAAGCATTACTTACATTCACTATTATGTTTGTTACTACTAGTGGCTTGGCTTAACTTTTTATTTTCATGAAGTAAATTTGCAATTTGTTCACGTAATGAGCTTATTGTACTTGACTTATTATTACACTCCTTTCGTAAACTTGAATTCTCGCTTTTCAAAGTCTCGATTTCTAGTTTAGCATTTGAATTGGCAGTTTGTAACTGAGTGATCTGAGATTTTAGAATGACGGTTTCTTTATTCTATTAATCAATAATAAAATTTCAGATTTTTTCATTGATTGTTTTATTATAATTATTACAGTATATATAACTTACCTCCCGATGCTCTGGTTTAACTTCACTGCAATTATATGCCTTTACCTTATATTAATTTAAAATTTGTTAAAAGCGTATGTATTGATTTCATTTAAATTTTTGGATTCTTACCTCATCACTACAATTCATCTTTGATTGTTGTTAAATAAAAAACCATGTATTTTAAATGTGCATACTGGTGTGTGTTTTTATCATTTTTTAATTTCCATTTATGGACATCCAATAAAATTAGTTAAATCAATTGGTTCACTAAATAAAATCACGTGGCTAAATAAGAATGATAACTTGTATACCGAAACGAGTGATTAGGCTGTCCCGTGACTAATCCAACAATGAACTTCGTCAATATATTAATATTTGCGTTAATAAAATAGAAATAATATATCTAGCGATAGCAAACTAGTAATTATGGTTAAAAATATTGAACTGCTTAAAAATAGAATTAGCTTCAAAATAAATTTAAAATTTCAAGGATTTTTTTACCTATTTCAATATCTTATCAGTAGCGATGGAAGTCGTGAGTTTTAGGTGTAACGTGAAAACCAAACAATCGAATAAAGTAAAAATACCCAATAGTCTGGATCGTCTTGTTATAAATGCGAAGAGCATGTGCATTTCAAAAATTTTACATTGTATGATATAAAATCTCAGATATACTATACCTGGATTTACTAAAAGGTTTTAAAATTAACAGAATGTAACAGATTCAGGTCTTGTATACAACGATAAATATTAATATTAAATAACAGTCATTCTAACAGCTTTCTAGGGTTAGCATTAAGTGTTTGGATTAGGATGGTTGTATTATATTAAGAAATTTCACGATGAGTTTTATAGACAAAATTTTGAATCATCTAAAACTCATGACTATCATCTTCATTCTCTATTCTGCTTTTGATTTTGGCGTCCAGAATTAATGTGCATCCCAATGTAGCCTAATAAAAAATAGTTATATAGAAAATATACAGAAAATATATTGACTATATATTATACCAAAATGTTGCAAAAACTCAACAAAAACCTAACGTTTTAGATCGATTTAAACCGTTGAGTTTTCGTTGAGTTTTTGTAACATTTTGGTATATATTTTCTATATGAAAATTTTTTATAGGGTACGTAGCACATAATTTATTGTGACACTCCATAGCGCATATGCACTTTCCTACGTATAATGATAATTGTGCAAATGTATAAATTTTGATCGATATTTCAGCAGAGACAGTGCCCCCCTATGTAGATTTTCGTTTAACGTTACACAACTTACAAAATTTTTTTTTATATTTATTTAAAGTACTTTCGAACATCTTGTATTACTCGCTTTCGTAATAAGCTAAGCGCCAATAGTTTATTAAGTAAACTTGGAGCCTTTATAACATAGAAGCATATATTAGTTTAATTCCTCTTAATCTCGCAACCTTAAGTCTGCGATCCAAATGGAAAATAATAAGAAATGCGTAGATTGTAAGACTACTAGTTCCAAGAAATTTCGCCAGTTAGGTTCTGAAATCTGGCAAGAAGTTGAGAGTAAAGGTTTGGTAAGAGAATCATGGAGTGTAGGTTGTACGCTTTGCAACGTTTGCTATATGAGATATGTAGCAAATCCTAGAAAAGAAAAAAAATCTACTAATAAAGAAATTACAGGTAAAGCTATAGAAAAAGAGATAGATCATACGGAAAATGAAGCCAAAGAAGTAGATGTGTCGAGTATTAATTACGAACTTGTTGAAGCTATAAGTTCTATAGCAAGAGTTCTTCATAAGAGAGAAGTTATAGAAAAACAAAAGCCTATTTATAATTTTGATGAATTACGTGAATTACTTGAAAATAAAGATCCTAACTTATGTTATTTTTTTGATCAATTATATTTAGCAGCGTGACCGTCAGAACGTACCAGCCAAACTATGGATCGTATGAAAAGAATTATGGTGTTCATTTGTTATCTTTTGGCTTCATTAAATAATACGCAAATTAATGCTTTTAAGTCAGATATTTCTTTTTATTTAGATGTGTCAGAAACAAGTAACGAAGGATTAAATATGTTGGCAAATATCAGTATAACTGCGACAGCAAGAACATTGAGTCGTAAAAAAAAGAAAATATCAAAAACACATGAAGAATTCATTAAAGATAATCTTATAGAGCATTTTAACAATGCTCTAATACTTAATATTGATGATTATCATAACATTCACATCCTTATACTACTAATATGTCTTTACCAACTCATATAGCAACAATTGTGGCAAATCCGTGCTTAACACTAACAATACCATGTAATCAAGTGCTTAACCCTAAAGTTGTTGATGGTGAATTAGTTATAAGGCATATAGATAAGCAGTTTATAGTTAATCTTGGTGTATCTTATTTTAATTTTACTAAAAATTGGTTAAAAAGAGAATATACTAACGCTGAATTATTGGAGAAACTTACTTTACATAGCTACGATGATAGATTAGCGGAGAAAAAAAGTGAACAGCATGTTAAAAACTGTATCCTTTTTGATTTTGTTGAATGTAGCTTAAAGGGTATTGACTGGTATTTAGCCTCACTTAAAACCGTGTATAATCAAGAGCCAATGCGGAAATATCTTTCCAATTTCGCAGTTTCTATCGTTGCGGACTGGCCTGGTCAATTTTATATTCGTAAGGCTATAGCACAAAAGGTTCTTTTGGATAATTAGAATATTCTTGAAGTTGTTACGGCGTTTTTACCTATTATGGGTCCTCTCCATGTGTCGCCAAATGTCCGTTAGCTCGTTTTTCTAAAAAACTCATTTTTATTTAATGATTTATATAAGAGTATATTTGGATTTCGTAAGAATCTTGGCCAGAAACCACGACCATGACAGATAGATTTAATTCTTTATATTATATATTTGGCGTGGTTTGAGATAGTTGATTTTATTTATTTAAAATTTGGCTACACATGTAAAAAAATTGAGTTTTTATATTTAACTAATCTCTTTA